ATTCACTCGTTTTCTTTCAGTTCAGTTCTTTTTTTTTCCCCAGTATTTTCACAGTAAAACTTTAGGTTGTACATTTCTGCATTTTTCTGCTTCCCTTTGTAACAGCAGTGAAGGTTATTAATTTCTCTCCAAGCGCTGGTTTAGTTGTATTGCCACAAATTTTGTTATGTTTTCAGTTGCTATCACTTCAAATTATTTTCTAATTTCTCCTTTTACTCATTAGAAACATGTTCGGTAATGTCCTAATATTCGGAGAATTTTCCAACTCTCTCTTCATGACAGCTTCGTACATTCCACTGTGGATAGACAGTATGTTTCATTTGACTTTAAATTATTTTGATTTTTTGAGACTTGCTTCTTAGATCAGTATGAGCTCTCTTAGGTAACGTGTTAATGCATTTTACTGTTATTGGGAGGAGTGCCCTGTAAATCTCAAACAGGTCACAGTGCATGATACTGTTATTCAAGTCCTCTCCATCTCTACATATATGTGTCTGCAAAAAAAACTATATCAAGGAGAGGCCAGGCGTGGTGGCTCACAGCTAGAATTCCAGCACTTTGGGAGACCAAGGATGGTGGATCACCTAAGGTCAGGAGTTTGAGACCAGCCTGGCCAACATAGTGAAATCCTGTCTCTACTAAAAATATAAAAATTAGCTGAGTGTGGTGGCATGCACCTTTAATCTCAGCTACTTGGGAGGCTGAGGCAGGAGAATTGCTTGAACCCGGGAGGTGGAGGTTGCAGGGAGCCGAGATCGCACCACAGCGCTCCAGCCTGGTTGACAAGAGCAAAACTCAGTTTCAAAAAACAAAGCTATTAAAAAAGTGTTGAAATATCCCATTGTAATTGTTAATTTGTCATTTTCTTCTCTCAGTTCTATCAATCTATCTTTAAAATTTCTGACATTCCCTTATTAGGTGCATACTAATTTAATAATAATAATATCTGTCCCTGGTGACTTAACCACTTTAACACTGGGAAAAATACCCTCTTAATCCTGATTATACACCTTGTTTTTAACTCTACTTTGATTTAGAGTCAGTTAGCCAATACAACTAATTCTGTTTCTATTAGATTAACGTTTTCATACTGCAGCTCTTTCCATCCCTTTATGTCAAGCTATCTTTGTCTTTATATTTGCTTTGTAGATTGGGTGTTGTTTTTTG